CAGCAGCAGCAGCAGCAGCAGCAGCCTGCTGCGAGGCCCCAAGTGTACGTACACCGTGTTTGTGTCTTGAATGAACTCAATTAAAGATTTGAAGACGGAGTTTAGAGGCGAAGGCAGCTGAAAGAAAGCAGCAGCACAATCTGCTGTTGTTGTGAATGCAGCCAGCAGCAGCAAACCGCGAAAAGACACTGCAGCCTCCCCATCATGCTGCTGCTCTTCCTGCTGCTGCTGCTGCTGCTGCTTCATTTGGTCTTCGTTTATTAGCTCCTGTAAGAACAGTCGGAAGTCAAGGCCCAAATCCCGCAAGCCCCGAGGGGCCTCCAATGGGCTAGCTGCTGCTGCTGCTGCTGCTGCTGCTGCTGCCGCCGCTGCTGCTGCTGCTGCTGCCTCGTCCTTAAAGCTGCTGCTGCTGTCTGACTCATCCCCGCTGCTGCTGTCGCTGCTGTTGCTGCGCTTGCTCTTGATGCTGCTGCTTGTGCTGCTGTTGCTGCTTCTGGCGGTGCTGTTGGGGGCGGACCACGAACCCACTCTAGCTGCTCTTGCTGCTGCTGCATCTCCAGGGGCAGCAGCTGCTCCTGCTGCTGCAGGCCTCACTGGGGAAGCAAACTGCTGCGGATGTGCAGACCTAAGTCCTCTGCTTCTCGCTGCTGCTTCCTGCGTGCTGCTGCTGCTGCTGCGCCTTTCTCTCCCGCGCCTTTCCGTCCCGCTTCCGTGACCGCTGCCGCTGCTGCTTCGTCTCGAGCTCGGCTTGCTGCTGTTGCTGTTGCTGCTGCTGCTGCTGAATTCCCTACTGGTGAGGGGGGGCCAAATCTCTGCTGCGTTGACAGGAGAAGTAAAATGAGCGTCAGCTTCAGCTGTCGAGACACCTGAAAACAACGACAGGTCTTCCTCCTCCGCTGCTGCTGCGCTGCTGCTGCTGCTGCTGCTGCTGGAGGCCGCTCTGCTTCTCTTGATTTGAGTGTCCATCCACAGCAACTCGCTGCAGATTATATTTGCTGCCTCCAGGGCCACAGCGCCGCCCAAGGAGTACCCCAGAACATTTAGCTGCAGCAGCAAAACGGAAAAATAATAGAATATGAATAATAAAGGATAAAAACAATAAAAAACAAATAATAAACGAGACAAATAATAAAAGAGGCAAATAATAAAAGAGACGCAGCAGAGAAACACACAGACGGAACGGCCTCCGTCTCTGTCGCGTCTATAACGAACTACGTGCCTGCTGCTGCTGTTGCTGTTGCTGCTGCTGCTGCTGTCTTGCTGCTGCTGCTGTCCTGCTGCCATGTGTGCATGATTGATGCTTTCCCTCCTGCCTGCTTCGCAGCTGTTCGCTACCCAGTCGCGGACTAACTCCAGCAACTGCAGCAGCAGCAGCAGCAGCGGCATTTCAGCAGCGGCAGCAGCAGCAGCAAATTTACCCTCAGTTTACAGTTGCCTCCGCTCATAGCCCGCAGATGTCTGAGAGACTCAGCGAGTCCCCTCACCGCAGCTCCCACACATCCTGCACAGCAGCAGCAAGCCGCAAACAGCAGCAGTGCTGCAACAGCAGCAGCAGCAGTAGCCACAGTAGCAGCAACACAGCAGCAGCAACAACAGAAACGGCAGCAACAGCAGCAGAAACAAAAGAAATTGCGGCAACAGCAGCAGCAACAAAGCAGCGCGGAAAGCAGCGACAGCAACCGCACGAACAGCAGCAGCAGCAGAAGCAGCAGCAGAAGCAGCAGCAGAAGCAGCAGCAGCTGCTGCTGCTCACCCTCTGGGCTAGGAACATCCCCCTTGCTGTAGCCGTAGCCAGGATAGTCCAGCAGCACAAAAGCCAAATCCATCTTCAGCAGCACAGGCACTTCCAGCTCCAGCAGCCCCGTCTCCTCCGGAGTTGCTGCTGCTGCTGCTGCTGCTGCTGAAGAAGCAGTAGGACTCGGGGCGAAGCTCTCCGCAGCAACCTGTGGGCAAAGCAGCAGCAGCAGCAACAACAAACGCATGCAAGCAAACTTTGCCTGGCCCTTGGACTGCTGCTCTGGGCCATAAAGCAGCAGCAGCAGCAACAACATAAGCAGCAGCAACAGCAAAACTGTGCCCTAGAAGCTCCGTTCTACCTCCGGATCAACGGCGCGATCTGTCCTGCTGTCGGGCTCTTGCTGCTGCTCCTGCTGCTGCTGCTGCTGCTGGGTTTGGAGGTGCTGCTGCGCTGCCCTGGCAAGAACAGCAGCAATTGCCTGCGCGTGCTGTTTGGCTTTTTCGTCTCTGGGACGCTTGTGAGCTGCTGCTGCTGCAGGTGCTGCTGCTGCTGCTGCTGCAGCTGCTGCTGCGAATACGGCGGGCTCGTTGAAGGTAGCCCTGCCCTTCCTGGCTTCCTGCTGCTGCTGCTGCTGCACTGCAGCAGACAAACAAAAGTAAAGATAGCGAGAGACAAAAGGTAGCCAGTCCAGAGCCAGCATGTCTTTTCCCCCGCAGCAAAGAAACACTTCAATTAGTCTGCTGCCTCCCGCTTCAGGAGCACTCGCTGCTGCTGCTGGTGCTGCTGCTGCTGCTGGTGCTGGTGCTGCTGCTGGTGCTGCTGCTGCTGCTGGTGCTGCTGCTGCTGCTGCGGGTTGCGTCGCCGAATGTGGCCTCGGCGACGTCTCTGCTGCTCCTGCTGCTGCTGCTGCGCCTCCCATGCGCAGCGCCAGCGGATTGGGCAGTTTCACTTGCTGCTTAGCAGCTTCGAGAAGCGCCTGCGGCTCAACCTGCTGCTGCTGCTGCTGCTGCTGCTGCGGGTCGAGCTCGCCGGCACGCCTGCTGCCGCCGCCGCCGCCGCCGCCGCTGCTGCTGCTGCTGCTGGCTGCCATTTGTCTTGCTGCGAGGGCCTGCAGCTGCTGCGGCAGCAGCCGAACTCTGCGAGCTGCTCGAATTAGAAAAGGAGCCACAAGATAAACGCTCACGTTGTCTGCGGCGTCGAGCTGTACGTACACCCCAAATGCGCAGCAGCAGCTTCGGACTTCTCGAGATTTGTTTTAAATTTGAATCAAGAATAGCAAAGAAAGGCGCGCGATAAAGCGACCTTGATGCTGCTGCGCAACAGCAGCAGCGGCGGCAGCGGCAAGCGCAGAACAGCAGCAGCAGCAACAACAGCAACAGCAACAGCAATAGCAACAACAGCAGCAGCAGCAGCAGCCGCAGCAGCCCCGTGGCCTCCGCCACCAGTGCAGGCCTTACCTCGCGAAGCCCAACGCCGCCGCCGCCGCCGCCGCTGCTGCTGCTGCTGCTGCTGCTGCTGCGGGCAGCTGGAGGCCCCGGAGAAGGTATGGGTCTGATGGTTGCCCAGCTGGACTCGAAAGCAGCAACAAGTTGCAAATAAAAAACAAGAGCTTCTCTTTCTAAAGAAAGGTAAGAGCGGCGGCTGTAGCAGAGGGCGCTTTGCCAGGAGGCGCGAGCTGCTGCTGCTGCTGCTGCTGCTGC